TGTATGTATGTATGTATGTATGTATGTATGTATGTATGTATGTATGTATGTATGTATGTATGTATGTATGTATGTATGTATGTATGTATGTATGTATGTATGTATGTATGTATGTATGTATGTATGTATGTATGTATGTATGTATGTATGTATGTATGTATGTATGTATGTATGTATGTATGTATGTATGTATGTATGTATGTATGTATGTATGTATGTATGTATGTATGTATGTATGTATGTATGTATGTATGTATGTATGTATGTATGTATGTATGTATGTATGTATGTATGTATGTATGTATGTATGTATGTATGTATGTATGTATGTATGTATGTATGTATGTATGTATGTATGTATGTATGTATGTATGTATGTATGTATGTATGTATGTATGTATGTATGTATGTATGTATGTATGTATGTATGTATGTATGTATGTATGTATGTATGTATGTATGTATGTATGTATGTATGTATGTATGTATGTATGTATGTATGTATGTATGTATGTATGTATGTAGTATGTATGTATGTATGTATGTATGTATGTATGTATGTATGTATGTAGGTATGTATGTATGTATGTATGTATGTATGTATGTATGTATGTATGTAGTATGTATGTATGTATGTATGTATGTATGTATGTATGTATGTATGTATGTATGTATTTACAAGAGAAATCAATGAATAAAACAAATAATTTTGACGAATTAAATTTTTAAAAGATTTACTGCCTATAAATTGATTTGCTATATGCGATTTTGGTCTCTATAAATTTCCTAGCTGAACATAATGTCCTTTCATACACTTTTCTGTTCGATTGAGCTTTTTTAGGAAACCAAGCCAAAATAAATTTTCCAATGTTATTTCGAATATGCTCAACTAGTAATTTTTTTTAGGAATGGACCATTTTTTCATAATTTGAAAAAACATAAAAATGAAATTTTAAACAACGAACAAAATAAGACCCATCTAAACTGAATCTATATTTTTTGGGCACCTAATGTACATACATATGTAAATAAAGAAATATTTAATTATTTTCAGGTCTCAGAAAATGAAACAAAAACAAATGATTCTCAGTATGATAAGGATTCCGATGGCAAGAAAACTTCGAAACTCTTGTACGGCATAAATGATAATCCTCCGTGGTATTTGAGCATATTTCTAGCTTTTCAACACTATTTAACCATGATAGGTGCAATCGTTTCAATTCCATTTATTTTAACACCAGCTCTGTGTATGTCAGACGAGGATCCAAATCGTGGAATTATAATTTCGACCATGATTTTCGTAACTGGTATAGTGACTTATGTGCAAGCAACTTGGGGAGTGCGATTACCTATAGTACAGGGTGGCACGATATCGTTTTTAGTTCCAACTTTGGCTATACTGGCGTTGCCGCAATGGAAATGCCCACCAGTGGAGCAAATCGAAGGTATGGATGAGGACAGTCGTCAAGAATTATGGCAGATACGCATGCGTGAGTTATCAGGTGCAATTGCAGTTTCAGCTATGGTCCAAGTTATTCTAGGTTATACCGGGCTAGTGGGCAAAATTCTTCGATTTGTAACCCCTCTGACAATAGTGCCAACAGTATCATTAGTTGGTCTAACATTATTTGAACATGCTGCCGAAACAGCCTCTAAGCATTGGGGAATAGCAGTTGGGTAAGATTTGCGATTAAAACCCTGTGGTCGTATAGAATTAAGAGGTATATTTTTTACTAGGACTACATCTATGTTGACTCTATTTTCACAAATAATGTCAAATGTTGCCATACCTATGCCAGTTTATCGAAAAGGCCACGGTGTTGAGTTTCGACCATTTCTGTTGTTTCGTTTGTTTCCGGTAATATTGTTTTTGTTTGTGTATTTGACTTTGCTGTTGTTATGATTTACTGTATATTCCAATTTAGGTGCTTTTAACAATAATAATTATGTGGGGTCTATGCGGAATACTTACACTAACTAATGTATTTGAGGAAGGCCATCCATCGAGGACTGATGTACGCATCAATGTATTAATCAATGCTAAATGGTTTTATATTCCATATCCAGGACAATTTGGTTTGCCATCTGTCACTTTATCGGGCGTTTTAGGAATGCTTGCGGGGGTGTTGGCATGTACTGTAGAATCATTGAGTTATTATCCAACAGTATCTCAAATGGCAGGTAAAATTAAAAACACGAATATATTTTTTGAACTATATTTCTTTAATCCAATGTTGTTTTAATCATTTATAGAAGCCCAATCCCCACCATTACATGCTATTAATCGTGGTATCGGAACTGAGGGTTTAGGTACTGTTTTGGCTGGCCTTTGGGGTGCTGGAAATGGTACAAACACATTTGGTGAAAACGTTGGCGCAATTGGGGTAACAAAGGTACGTTATCAACAATAGCCAATATATTATACATATACACAGAGAAAACAGATTCGTTGTTGCCAATCGAATTTAGTTGGTTCCCACAACTATCACATAATTTTATTGGGAAAACTGAAAAATTCTATTGGCATTATAGAATATGTGGAAATTTTAATAGTTTAAAAACGAAATTCGGTATTTTAATTACCTTTATTTAATATATATAATGGAAACCGATTTCCATCCATCTTTCTCGTAATTAAACCTAGATAATTTTGATCTTATCTCGATTTTAAATTTAAAGAAAGTATAGAAAACCTATGTGCCAATATTGTTTAAGATTTTTTAAATTTCATTTTTAAAACAAATATGTATTAATTTTTTCGCAAATATCAAATTATTAATAAACGCAATATTAATTTTTCGATGCAATCAAACAAAATTCTTAATCAGTTTTAAGTTTAGTTTTCGAAATTTAAATGATAAAATATCATTTATCATGATCTTTGGCCTTTCTTTACGTGTTTAAAAAGGAAAAATCTTTGGTTCAGCATTTAATAAAACTACAAACGATATAAACAAACTCAAAAATTCAATTGACCTCAAATGTAAACGAAGTAATATTCTCAAAGAGCAAATATATTTCACATCTAAATTTTTCTTTTAACCTAGATCGGATCTCGTCGTGTAATTCAGTGGGCAGCATTCATAATGGTCTTGCAAGGTGTTATAGGAAAGTTTGGAGCTGTTTTTATTTTAATTCCAGACTCTGTAGTTGGCGGAATATTTTGTGTTATGTTTGGTATGATTGTTGCGTTCGGCCTCTCAACATTACAGTACGTAGATTTAAGATCAGCCCGAAATCTTTACATACTGGGCCTGTCAATATTCTTTCCCATGGTATTATGTAAATGGATACAGCAACACCCAGATGCAATAAAAACTGGAAATGATACCATTGATTCAACACTGACTGTTCTATTGGGTACCACTATTTTAGTGGGTGGTCTATTAGGTTGCATATTGGATAACATAATACCAGGTAATTTTTCTACTGCTATGAAACTTTTTCAAATATTAAGAAAATCGAGTTTTAAATTGATTTTAATGCCTTTTTAGTCATAAAAAAATAGAAAATTGTTTTTAATATTATATTTGTTTGCATAAAAATATTTATACCCGATGTGGTTATACATCATATGTACATATTTGTGCACTTATATGTATCACCCTTGTTTAATTCTTTAATTTGGTGGGCTGGATCAAAGGATAAAAATATAATTTTTTGAAGTTTTTATGATATTTTTCTTATTTTCAATATTTTTGAACTAGCTCAAAATCAGTTATACACCAATGAAAGCCAGCGGACCAAATATTGACCTCAGGAATTTTGAGAAACGGTGTGTTAGAAAGAACTATGCTTTCATTTTCGGTGGAAACATTCACCCATTAGGCCACCCTAATGTACATATATACATATGTATGTAAATACATTAGACCGGCTCCTAGGAATATAGTGTTTTGGTTACCCATCTCAAAATATACTAATCTAGTTTAATGATTTTTTGAAAAGTGTCGAACTCTCGAACGGTCATAACTAAATCCATGCATTTACGAATAACAAAACACACTATTTAAAATATTTAATCATATATGTAGGAACACCAGAGGAACGTGGACTTATAAATTGGGCCAAGGAAATGCCCCTTGGTGATGACAACATTAACGATGGTACTGCTACAGATTATGATTTCCCCTATGGTATGGAAACTTTAAAAAGGTATGTTTGAAAATGATTCTTTATATTTAAAAAATTAACATTAATAAAAATTGCAATTGATGGCTGCTGCCAGCAGTTCGATTTCTGATTCCTTTTTTGCACATTTATGTAATTGAAATAAATTGCAAATGAATTATTAATTTTTATACTAATAGTAACGTTTTAATGATCGTACTTTTTTTGCAGCTGGAAGTGGACTTATTATGTGCCTTTCTTACCCACATATAAATTACAAACAAAAGACAGTTGAATATTTAAAACTTAAATTTTATTTCATACTTTTTATGTTTAATTTAAACACACCTACATTTTTACCTAAAAATAAAAATTGTTTATACTTTTATTAGAAGTTTGTTTCATTGAATAATAAAAACTGTCTTCACTTTATCGTGATGGTTTATTACATTATTACACTTTTACACAAATAAAAATTTAATTTAAAAATTGATAAAGTACAATTTGTAAGCTATCTTTTAAATGGAAATTTTTTGTTTCGAAATTGTGAACGCGTACGATATTTAGGTTAATTTCGGTACCGGTATTTTTGGAAAGATATAATAATATTTAATTTTTTTTACAGTCACATCAATTATCGGAAGCCGAATTACCATATTCTTGATCAAATAAGATTCTAATGGAAATAAATTTCAATAGCACAATTCATTTAAAATGTGATAGATTTTACTCGATCACAAAACGATCGTAGAAAACTTTATAATCTAGGTATCATGCTTCAAAATATTTCTTGCAAAAAAAAAAAAAAAAAAAAACGTTTATAATTAATAATACTCACCAGATTTTGATAAAAAATAATTTAAAAATTCGCATAATGATTTTCTTGTCTTATATACTTTTTTATTTTTTGTTTTAAGTAGGTACGCATTACTTATTTTATATTTTGTTTTACATTAAAATGCATTTGATCTCAAAAATGTTTTAAAATGTTAAACAATTGGTATAAATACTAATATTTTTTAAATTAATTACAAACTTTTGCTCCTAAAGGATTAGGGTTAAAACAAAAAATTTAATTTTAAACTAAATACCACAAAATATCCATTTCAATTCTCGTCTTAAGAATATTTGAACAGTCATTTCGAAAAGGACATACGTACTTCTATTCGAACTTTTCAGGAGGAACACAAATACGTTTGGTATAAAAGAAATTCTATGGTCCAAAAAAGTTGATAAACAAAAAAATAAATTTTATATTTATTGAAAAAAAAAAAAAAAATAAAGTTAATATACAGATATTTTGAATTAAAATTTTTTATGTTATAAAACAATGTTATGACTCGTGTCCTTTTCGAAATGACCGGTTCAATTTTTTAAATGTCTAAAAAGAAACATTAATACATACATATGTATAGTATATGCTGTGAAGGTCCTGCTGTAAATGTGCGATATACATACATAGATAGATATTTAATTTATTAAAATTTGTACGTCATATTATAGGAAAATTGACGTCTATTTGTTACTTTCAATATAAAATAAGAAAGAACACGTTCTTTCGAATTTAGAGGAACGGGCTCTTCATCTTTAATCAATTTGCGTTTTTCTAACAAAATAATAAATACGTATAAAATAATAAAATCTACATTTTAAAATTCAACACGATTTATGCGTGATCGGTTTAGAAACAAAAAAAACTTCATATTTATTTTATTGTCTATTTCGACGTGTTTCAAAATGTTGAGGAATCACAATTTTATAGGAGCAGTTTTTTATTCCTGTGCCGAATTGCCGTATACTTGGTCAAATAAGCTTCCATATGCAAACACATTTCGATGTTGAAATTAAGCTAAGAAGTTCATCATCTCAAAAAGGAAAATTACGATAAATTTAACTCGCTCACACATGGGGTGATTGGATTCCGGTTTCAATACAGTAATTTTTAAATTTTTTGTAAAACAATAACTTTGTTACTTTTAATATTACAGTAGTTTTCCGATTCATCGAACAATCATTCCTGCGAACGTCACATTTAGCGAACTATCAATATTTTTATATTGATTACCTTATATAAGGAACGAAAAATATTGTTTGTACTCCGTTTAACTAACAAATACATATACATAAAAAAATTAATTGTAAGAAAAGAAATATCTAAAAATCAAGTTAAAAATGCTTCGATGTTATTAGAAGAGGTATTTTCTTCTCTATTTGCGAATATGGATTTCGACAAAAGACATATAGGTTCGTTAAATCGAAAAACTGTCATTTTAAATCGGATTCATATATTTAATATCTTAACGTAACTTTAAAACTTTCAAAATAGAAAACAGTCTTGTCGCAGAAAGATCATATTTTGTTTTTTAGGTCCATTAGCGAAATACCATTATTCTTTATACATACATAAATATGTTTGTGCATATGTATGGATAAGTAACTAGATAAAGTGTATCACTTTTCTGCCGGCTTTTATACCCTTATTTCTCTTGGACTGTGGTATTAATGATTTGACTCAAAGATACTAAATGAATTTCTAGTTCAATGAATTTAAAATTGAGACAATTTATGTATAACTTATTTTCGAAATATTGCTTGATAATAGTTATGTTTTTATTCACTAAAAATAAAATTTTAATACGTTACGTTAGTGAGCAACAAAAATGATATATGTACATAATTGTATGCCACTTTTACTATGTACTACAAATGTATGTAAGTATGCGTATTTAGTATAAGTATGTATTTATATAAGATCATACTATTACCTTTTAATATGTATTTAAATGTTAAAATAAAACAAATTTTCGGTTCTTAATAAATATCAATTAAGTTTTAACTATCCTAGAGCGATAATATTTCTTGTGGCTTAATTGAGTAGCCACAAATGTAATATATATCTTGTCAGTTTGGTAGATTGTGTTTACTTTTTAGAACAATAACAAATTATACTAATTATATATAGTAAGTATGCTCAAATACTAGTCAAATGACTAGATATGTACATACATATATACCTATTCTATATATCATAGACGTATGTGTGTATGTATGTAAATTTGTTTAGCATATTTATAAAAGTATTATTTCTTAAATGGAAAATCTTAAAATCTACGAGTACGTTGTCTGATTTCATTTGAGCATAAAGCTTTGTTACGTTTTTTACCTACACTACTTTTAGATGAAGTCGATGATGAGCCAGGATACATACGTCGCCTTTCTTGGGCATAGTAACAGAATATACAAAATCCATTTTGTGGTGTTGTGCATCAAATATTTGTAGGACTGCGTGGTGTTGATGATTTACGGTAACGGGAGTTTGACCTAGAGAGAAAGTGTTAAGATTGAATCCGACTGTAGTTCATTGCAAATAAAATTACCTTGATAAGCTTGATGTATAGTCTCGTAAAGATGACGATGTGTTGTTTTCGTGTCGGTATGTATTTGTGTTGGGTGGATCTAATAGAGACATGGTTCGATGATCATATGCTCGAATTGGTCTTCTTCCCATAGTTGCATATCCATCTACTTGAGGACTGTTGTTGGAACTAATTCCGCTTGAAGATATGCCTGTATTTGTGGTGAATGAAAAACGACGTTTTGGATTATACGTGTTGTAGTAAGTGGTTGAAGCGCCAACGCCTGACCTCGGGACTTCATCAAAGGCGTTTCCTTTAAATCGCGAAGAGAATCCGGAAGTGTTGGTAAGTAATTCATTATCTGGATTGGTGAAAGAAGCATACCGTCGTTCTGATAGGCAAGACGGTGAAGTTGGTGTTCGGATATCATTCAGACTTTTACGTGGTCGTCCACTAGCTGAGGAATAATCATGACTGCTGCTAAATGATGATCTGTAGACTGGTGGCTTTAGTTCGGTTCCGATCGGACTTAATTTAAGTGGTCGGAAAAATTCCTGTGTTATGTCTGGTGAATGTTCGCGTTCGCCACTAGCTGTAGCAATTTTAGTAGATGATCGTGTTTTGGACGCTGAGCTTTGTTCACGGTAATATTCCCGAACAGCATTGGGTCCTACGATACTACTCGTACGTTTTGGCTTTTTCTCATTAAATCTGCAATAGAAACTACGACGTTTTATACGATCCACTACACTTTCACCAGCTTCGGAACTATCACCACGTCGAGTTGGAGATGAAGCTTGCGAAGCTCTGGAAAGGTGAGATACAGTAGGTGAAGGTGTTGCCCTCTGGCCTCGATAATTATCTTCAGAACATACGGACCAGGTGTCAAAACATAATTCTGCCTCTTCTGTGGGAGAAAGAAAGGTTGACGTAGATGCACAATCCTCTTGGTAACTGCGAGAATCGGATGAATAGTTTCCAATATTCTCAAAAGATGGCGATAGTAAATTATTATTTTGGTTTACTTCGTGTGTCGAAGATGTTCGATATCCGGACGTTTGTGACGTGTGTAGTGAAGAACAGTGATTGTTATTATTACTGCTATTGTTTTGCTTATTTATAGATGAGTTGTTGTTATTGGATGCTTTCTCTGCAGTTAAAATACTAGAACTAATACCAGACGAACTGTGAATTGACTTACTGTATGGTGAAATGTTGGAATAAATTTCATTATCATTAAAACAAGGGTACATTTTTGATGAACGGACATTGTTGTGTGTTGTGTTAAATTGTTGATTTTTATCAGGTTTTATCAATTCAAGCATCAAACCTTTTCTTTTCTCCTGATTACCTTCTGCTGATGGTAAATTGCGCCCACTTTCATCTGCTTTTGTACAACAGTCTGGACATGATGGGCTCGCAGGCGGCATCATAACGTGACAATTACATACTACACTCCCCTTGCAACTTTTTATAGCATTTGAATCTCTGTTAACACCAACACTGCTGCTAGATTTCTCGACGTTTTCGTTCATTTTACGAATTGCATCGGCATTTTGATAAATCGGCGATGAATTGCAGATATCTCTTTCTATATTGCTTGTAGAACGAACACTACGTACACGGTTTTCTGGATTGGCATCTTTTTCGTAACGTTTAAATAGGCCCAATACTTTATTAACTGATTTTTTATTAAAAGTACCTGGCATCTCTTCGACGCTCACTGCTCGCTTTATGTAATTCGATTCAGAAGAAACACTTGGCTGAGATCTTGGAACTGAGCGTTCTCGCAAATTACGTATCATTGCATCGATACGCGAACGTTTTTCACTCTTAAAAGGTTTGGCAGCACTCTCGGGTTCTGCATTACAGTCTTCAGTACCTGCACTTACCATAGCTTTACTTCCAATTTTACTTGATTGTGTTACTTTCGAGCTAGAATTTCCACCCAACGATTTCGTTTTCTTCACGTCCGCCATTTTATTGGTGATTTTTTCTGGAGATGACTTCTCTAAAGACTTTTTATGAGTTGGTATGTTGGCACAGGAATTGCTTGTTGCGGAAGCCCGAAGTTTTTCGAATTTTTGTCCAATAGCGTAAAGCAAACCTTTGTTGGTTTTCTTTTCTCCCACTTTTCCTTTTGATTGAACGGTAGCGACGGGACTAGACTCTTTTGATTCCTCTCCCGCGCTTGTAGTTGTATTTGGAGTTGAAGTGGTTGTCGTGCTTATACTACTAGATTTAGAAAATTTGCTCTTTTTGACAACTTTTACAACTTTGTTTTCGCCTAAAGATGTTGCTTCGGCGACCTGAGAAGTATTTTCGGAGTTTTGGCATGCCGTGGACGTTGAAACCTCTTCTATTTTGTTTATTTTTTTACGTATAGTTAGTTTAGTTTCTTTGGGTGCTATAAGTTTTGAAGTAGGATAACTCTTTGGCCGTAATATTCTGCTTTCACGTGCCGCAATACATGCAGGACTGTTTGCTTCGGTCGGACTTAAATTTCCCGCTGTGTTTGAATGTTCCGTTGTGGTAAGTATATTGGAGTCCAAAGCTTTACTGGTTGAAGTTAAATTAGTGCTAATTATTTCTGAGGTATTACTACTAGAAATTGAGTCCTTCATTGGATATGATTTGGGTCGTTTAAGTTTAGATACCTTTTTAGGAGAGGGAATATCAGAGATTATTCCGTTCTTTTCATTATTGTTTTCTGGAACGTCGCTGGGCAAATCTTTAGTCACTGGAGTAGACAATGATTCTGATTTCTTAACAATTTTTTTCACCTTTTTAATGACTGTGTTCGAGTTTTTAGCGTCGACATCAGTAGAAGATTCTGTCGATTTTTCTTTGGCCTTTACTTTTTTAATTTTTTTAATGGTAGATATTGGTTTTTCGTTAATAATATCATTATTAGTACTTGACTCATGAACTTCAACCTCTTGGGATCGTATTGATGATAGAATTTGGAGTTCCTGCAGTATTTTATCAGCTAACTGGTTTTTGTCGACTTTGCTCATTTCTTCTAAGTCCCTTGAACGCGAGAGACTTCTCCGGTTATATTTTAAAGCATCCTGATTCCTAGTACTACTGTTGGTATATTCCGAAGGAAGTTCGACACTCTTATTTCGGATTTGCCGAGAATTCTTTAATTTGGTGGAAGCATCGGTAACATCAGCTTCAAACTGTCCAGTGTTCGTTATTTGATTTTGGTCCCCAGGTATTTCTTCAAGTGGTACTTCAAACAGATCTGGTCGAACCAAGCGCGATATACGACGTTGTGTTGGTCGTCTGGTTGTAGATTCTGATGATGGTGGTGGTGAGAGTCTTCCGCTTGGAGGACGCCCAAACGTAGCTCCACCTGATGTTGCTTCAGTAGGGCCGACTTTCGAAGCGTTTTTTTGTGATGTATCTTTTGAAATTTTATTTACGTATGGAGAATAGTATCTGTACTTATCGCTTATATCACTATTGTACAATGTTGTAATGTCCTTGCAGTTATCATCGCTGCTTTTACTCTTGCTGTGCACTTTTCTCGTGGAAGATGTTGCGACTACTTTATCTTTTGTTGTGTCAGAACATTTTTCGGTAATTGATGTGGTTGGACCTTCTATTTCGTTCAAATCTTCTTGATCAATTGGTGCTTTAGGTGGCGCAACATTTCGGCCACTACTTTGACTACGTTTGTATATTTTGACTGACGAACAGTTTTGATTCGTTTGCACACTTAACGTTCGTGACAATTTGCGTGCTTGAGTCGGTGGTAACTTTGCTAATAATTGTTCCTGAAAGCACTTAGGCAGTCCCGGGGCAATATTAGATAACGTTTCAAGATCTTTTTTACTTAATCTTAAACGAGATAAATCCAAATCAGCCAAGTCAAGTGGCTCTTCCATATCTCCGGCTGTACTTTCCGTGGATATGTTACACTTTTTAGCTACCTTTGTTTCCGTTGACTTATTTCCTGAAAATAAGATAGTCATCATTGCATTAACAAACTATAAAATGGAATGGCTAAATGCACACCTGTATTCCCTATAAAATTTTATAACAACAAATTCTTATGGCATTAAAGTCTGGTGTAATATTGACATAACTATAGTTTATATGTACATATGTCCTAAGTCATACTCTGTAATTCGAATTGTTAGGACAACTATGTATGTACATACATATACATATGTATGTATATGTATGTACATTAGGTTTATAACTTTCATACAATTTTTGTATTTTTTTCCCGATCGTTTTTGATATTTATTCTAAAAAAATTTTAAATTTTTTAATACAAAACTGGAAATTTTTGATATAAACTAGTGTCAATGTTTTACCACGACATCTATACGGAGAAAACTCAAGGATAGGAGCGGTGGTTTACCCTTCTTTCAACATTAGCTTCCAAAAATTCATGAAAATTTGTTTGTGAATGGTTTTAGAAAATCGATTTGCCGCGGAAGGTTTTTGCACCAAAATGACCTGAGAAACAAGTTATCCTTATCAGAACACTACTGGCTGCTACGTAGTGATAATTTCTATGCTAATACCACAGAACAATTATAATAGACTGTAAAAAATTTGACTTATTTAAAAATATACTGGTTTCCCGGTTTCCCTGACATTATATCTTACGTTGAAATTACTCAATGGTATATATTGTTCATTTACTTCGAAATTCTTTTAACTTAAAATGCAGGTTTTTTACTAAGTGAATAATGATAAACATATCAAATAACGAATGGTTGCAATGAATTTTGTGGCAATTTCTAATCAAAGTTTTCATAATAAATCTATATAGTTTTTTAAAATTAAAATAATATCGAAAGTGAGTACTTTATTAATATATAGTAAAATATTGTTGAGCTCATTTTTAAATATTTTTTTTTTGCAATTTAATTTTGGCTGAAGCCCATAACAGATCTTTTGGACCATCATATTTTTGCTATCACACCTGCCTGTGTTTTTCCGTATTACATAACATAAAAATGTAATCAAAGTTGTCTTTTTAATGTGTAAACATTTTTAAAATTATAAATTAGTTTATTAAAAAATATTGAAAAATCTAATTGAAAAAAATACATACATATGTATTTCCACATGCAATGTTTCATATGTATCAGACGATATGTACAACAATTACAGATGAAAATTTTGACAGTACATATGTAAAATATATGAACCCATGTTACTGTTAAGTTCAAAATTTTGTGTAAACTTAAAACAAATATTGTAAAAAAGGATTAAAATACAATAGTTAAAAATTTATTCAATTTAGGACTGAAATAGATCGGGGAACCTTATACCGGGAAACCTACAACGTGGAAATATCGTTTTGAAATAATACTTGGTAAATTTAAACTTTTTTTGTTCAGTAAATGGGAGAATTCATATCAAAACGGACAGATAGTAGCAATTTTCGGATTTACCATCTCCGATTTTAATAAAATTTCCAACACATATTAAGGTTCGAAAGTGTTCCTCAAATCAATGACTTTTTGATCGGAATCCCATTCCAGACCAAAAATATCGCGCTTTTAAAAATGTGTAAAAATTATCTAAAAGTATATATGTATATATTATAGCCCATAACTTTGAAGTTCCATTAAGTACAGGATAATTTTTGATTTCGTTTTAAAGCCTTTAAAATCGTGTAAATAGAATATTTTACTTCCAAAATATTAAAGGTCAATTTTCTAGTGTATAATTCAATGTCAAATAGGTCAGACAGCCCCGTGATAAAAATTATAAAAATACATGGTATGAGGATACGTAAGCTCTCTTCTCCATTCTAGTGAAATTTTTTCGATGGAGACTCCTGTAGTTCAGGGGGCTAATTCTCACATTCGTATACGTACGAATTTATATTCGATCGTACGAGTTTTTTTTTACTTTTTGGATTCTCTTATTCGATAACGAATAAAACGTATCGAAATTTCTTATGATGGCATTCGATAACGAGCAATCGTTCGAATGAAACCTTTCGAGTTTTTTCTCGAAAGCAAAATTGCTTTAGAAGTAAAGTTTTTGTGAAATAAAAAAATTAATGAGAAAGAACATGAATTTTATTAAATCATGGAAAAAATAATAAATGGAATACTTTTATTTCAAAAATTAATTATGCCAAAATAAATCCTTGGTAGTTTAATGGAAAATTACAAGAGGTTAATGCCAAATACTTCAATATAGAATTTAAATTTAATAAAAGCTTATTCCAATGTTTAAGTTTTGAAATATGGATTTCTATTGGGTAAAATAATTGTTATTTATTTAAGCACTAAAAATATTTTTAAACAAAATAAGTAAGAAAGTTTATTGAGGCATGGCCGATCATATGATACCCAACACCAGTGTGTAGTATGTAAAAATGTTAATTACTTTAAATAATAAACCATTTAAGTTGTTTAAAAAAGTCATTTTCTGAAAGAGAGCTAATAAGGGGACTGGATAAATATGGGCCTATCCTTATAAATTTTGATAGAGGGATTTAGATCTATATTAAAGTTATTTATGCAAAATTTCATCGTGATATTAGTGTTTATAAGCGAATTTTGACCTACAAGTAATTTTCTGAAGGGGACTTTGTGTGGGGGCTGGGGTCAAATGATTCCCGATTATTACGAAAATCTGCAGTACCATTTAAACTTGTGTAAAACTAAGTATATAGATACAATAACTTTTAACATAATTATGAGCTCTAAAGCCGTATTCGGGGGTTACGATTGTATGAGGGCTAGGCGAAATAATGGGCCAATTTTAACACTTTTCAATTGGCCTTGTCCTTGGATCAAAAAAAGAGTATGTACCAACGTTCATCAAATTATCTTGAAAATTGCTACCTGTAGCGTGCGCACAAGGTTTACATAGACACACAGACGGATGGACGGACGTAGCTAAATCGACTCAGAGCCGATTGGTACATATACTTTAAGGAAAGTGTAGGACCACTACAGTGGTGTTGGGTATAAATATGATCCAATATTTAAATTTCTCGCGATTCTCTCATGAAACGTCCATTTCAAAAACCCCTTTTTTATCCAAATTCAGAAAATACAAAAACAAATTAAACAGAAACAATTAAATGTTTGTGACCCACCTATAATCCAAAATGGGTCAAATCAAAACAGCCAATATTTGCCAAATAAATAAAAGTTAATAACTGAACAAACATCCATGTTGTAATTAAATATCACTTGGAATATTATATTTTGCATAAAATACTCCTCTCTACAATTAAACTCCATATTTATATTTTAATTAATTTTTTTTTAAATTTTTGATTTTTTAATGAAACATATGAGTTTTGTTAACATTTCGTTCAGTATTATAAAACATATGAAAGTTTTTTACAACACTGAAGCAACAACACGATTCGTTTCGTATCGAGTAACGCACTATCGAAATTAATTTCGATCACGACTGCGAGAATTACCCCCAGGTGTTTTTAACCAAAACGTAATTTAAATCATGTTTTGTATACAAAATCGTATGAAAAATTAAACAAGCAGAAAAAACACACAGTGGAATCAATTTCAATTTATGTGGAAAATGTTATTTATCTCTTAAACTGCAGGACCAATTTAAATAAAATGTACAAGGAAATTATTAAGGACAATTTATCTTTACTGAAAAATGACTTTCTTACCACCCTGTTAAAATACAAGATGAGGAGAGTTAAATGAGAGTACTTCGATTATAAAAATATATTAAAGCTTCACAAATCTGTAAATAAGGACCGATTTGGCTAAGTTGAATTTTTTTATAGTAGACATCGCTGGTATTATAAAACTTAATGGTAGGACTAAGTTATAAATAAAATTGTTTAACTTTTGTCCACTGAATTATTTAAATTATATCTCTTAAACCCTTAAATTTAATTAGTATTGCAGTATGGATCAAGCTTTACTGTATTGTATAGATTGCGTAAAGTTTACGATCAGTTAAATTTGATCTAGAAGCTTTAAAATAATTTTTGAAGTCGAAGAGTTCACTTTTAACACGCTGTTTTCCACCTTTTATTTTAATATTGTAATGACAAAAGATACTTTCAGTAAGATCTGATCGTCCTCAATAATTTTCTTGTACATTTCATTTAAATCGGATCAGTGGTTTATGAGATACAATGTAATTTACCATATAAATTGAAATTGATACTAATGTGTATTTTTTCTGTTTGTTTAATTTTTCATACGAATTGGTAAAAAAAACTTGCTTTAAATTACGTTTTGGTTAATAACTCCTGTACCGCAATTCTGTAATTTTTTAATTTTAACTACCGATATCGTAAAGTAACGATAAATATCGGTTGTATTAACGAATTTCCAATTCTGTAACTTTTTTAACGACAAAGATCGGAAAAATATGAGAATGTCAAATAAAAAATATTGAAATATTTTTAAAATTTAAAATTATTAACGTGAACTTTTTATTTGTCGTTACATTGCCGAATCTGATATCTATTTTGGTCTATCACCCACCATGGCATTGAATATATTGTTAATATATTACGGGCATTTTATATAACTATAAAAATATATTTACGTTTAAGGGTTAATTTGATTATATATTTCTTTATTATATATTTTCCATAAGTTTCATCTAAATCGGTTGAAAACAAAATAATATTTCACTATGGATCCAAGAAAACTTCCCAATATTGTATAGCTTGAGTTTGGCCTTCACAGTTTATGGGTTAACATTATTTGATTTTACGAAAACTTAAGATGTATATTTCCTACTATTTTTAATTTTATATCGTCTTTAAAAGTTTTATATAAATTGCATAACAATAAAGAATAAAGCCTGTTTTTCAAAAATTTTAAAAGTAGTTTTCTCCGTATTTATACGTTCTAAGAAGTATAATTTTTAGGTGACAAAGGGACTTGTGTCAATAGCATAAAAATAAAATTGTATCATGGAACATCCTTTCTTCTACATTAATTTTCTTAGAGTGGAAATATTAAATAAAAA